GCATAGAGAAGTTTTATAAGCGCTATATAAGTATACAATAATAATAATAATAATAATAATAATAGAAATTGCAAATTGCAAGTGAAGTGCTGTGAAGTGCTGCGAAGTACAACTGCATATAAATGTTCTTCGAACAAAATTATTTATGCGAGTCAAGTGAAAATAATGAATAATAAAACTATAACAAATAATATGAGACATGACCCATTGTCTATATTAGAACACTTCTCATTGGGTAACAAAGTCGTAATTTTTCATTTTTGTCAAAAAGTGTCTAGTGTGGGGAATTATGGTTTAGGTTTTTTTTAAATAAAGTTTCAAAAATTCCTATGTATGTGGAAAATGTAGTTGATTACCAAAAGTTACAATTTTTATTTTGAAGACTGCATGGTCTAGGAAGTGTACATTTTTTATGGGGCAAGTTTCCAAGGGCGAGTTTTCTAGGGGCGAGTTGACTGCCAAAGAATGTTTTTTTTTTTTTTTTTTTTTTTTTTTTTTTCTTTTAACATACATAAAACAACATAATATAATATAATGCAATATTACAATACACAATCTCATCTTCTAAAAAAATTATTTGCATTACAAAATCCAAAACCAATATAATATACTGTACTGTAATATAAAATGAAATTAAAATTAAGTAAAAATTGTTGCCAAAGTGCGAGCCAGTGTGTTATTTGATCACAAGTGCGAGACAGAATCACAAGTGTGAGCCAGCGTGTCATGACGTCACGACAATAGATAGAGACGTTAGCCAGTTGTGCGAGGCATCGGCTGAGATTTGTAAAGTACAATTCAAAAAACAACTATAGGTCTAATAATAATGAATTATTGTGATGTTAAATAGACAATGTTAGCTATCAAAGAGCGACGTTGTTTTTCATTGGGCCCTTCGTCTTCAAGGCTAGGCCTATACCATCCTAGCTAGTCTAGGCCTAGAGTAGGATAAGGCTAGCGCGACATGCGGACGTTGGTACGAGTTGGTTAGTCTACAAACGTCGCCTAAATTAATTGATTTTACCCGGCAGAACGACAGAAGGAAACTCCGCTTTTCAGTCGTCTTCGGCAGTCGTTTTTTGACAAACAATGACCGTTCAGAGGTCAAATTGCTGTCAAGAATATGAATTGGCTGCTTCGCAGCAAATATATTATCTGGCTAGCCCATCACAAGTTTTAATTGGAATTTGTTTCCAATTAATTTTACTTACAGGGCACATGCCTCTTTCAATTTACATTATATTTACTAAAATAGTGTATATACATATAATACCTTAGATATTTGTTAAAAATTATATATTTTTTATTGTTATATTGTGAAAGAAATAAATTGATTTGATTTGATTCAATAAATAATTAAACAGATAATGGTCCAAAAAAGTGAACAGAAATAGTCGTGACAACGGTCGTACAGGCTATTCAGCTAAACCCCCCCCCCCCCAAAAAAAGGAAGCGGTATGATAGCATTCACTAAACACAAATTCAAGATAAAAACTAATGAATAGCTTTACAAAACATGTAGGCCAACTAACAGCTAAAGAACAACTTCTCCCTATTGACCCAGAGCTTCGCATAACTCCACCGCCGAACTACCAGTAAATGTCAACACAGTTTTATTTTATACTGCTTATGCGGACGTAATATGATCACCAATATATTCCCGCCTTATTATTGTTTACCTGACCTATTCCCGCCTTATTATTGCTAGCCTAATTATTGTCGCTGTAAAGGAAAGTAAGTTTCAACTACCCTTCCCATCATGCTCACTGTTTCTCGCTTTAAAGTGACTTGGGATTTTTTCAACGTAAATTAGCTTTTACATATTTTTTACAGATTGTTTATGCTGGATAATAACCTGTGAAGTTAAGTTCTACATAAGGTACATGCTTGATTGTATAACCTTCCGTTACTTTATGTTGTTTAATGAATACATGACATATTTAATAATTGTTTACTCCAGAAGAAAGTGTTGCAAATTTGTGTCCCATAGGCTCTGATTATCCAGATCACAAAATACTAAAATTCTCCGGGAACTAAATTTCGTGTTACACCGGCCGTCTTTTAGACGGCCTACAATTATTTATGAAGGCCATATTTACCGTGACGGCTTGGACAACTTGGCTTAATCAGCTCGGCCTAGCCTATTGGGCCTGGTCTACCTTTATCAAATTCTATAGCATGTTCTATTAAACTAAAGCTAAATCATATATTTACGTTTGATAAAAACAAAAAAAAAAACAACCTTCTGAGACGGATGCACGATTTGGCGGTAGTGGGGTTGCGTGAGGGTCCACCTGACTTCTCCCATTGCCCCCATGGTTTTTTGTACTGTTGGCTTTGATTTATATGTGAGATTGGTACATGATGCTCTAGCATAGACACGTGTGACTGGAAGTTTTTGTATTTATGGTATGCAGTGAGAGAAATAGGCAATATTTTATTATTCCGTTTCTTAAGGTTCTCTATAAAGAAAATTTGCCAAAGGAATATTACCACATTTGTTATAGTTTAAGATAAACTATAATCATAATTATGTAACAGGTTCGTGTATTTTTTCGTATATCTAAATAAACAGACTTCAGCGTATTATTATTTGCATTATGCGTGGATATTTGAATAATAAAGAAATGCTCAGTTGCGCAACGGTATTTGAGTGAAACGTTGCTGTGAAAGTATATATTTTTTTTATGTGTTTTGTTGAGCGGGACGGCTGTGTGCAGGATTGACTGGGTAGTAACTGTGTCTTGTATGATGTACCATGGTTTTCGGATACTGTCTATTGATTTAAAAATAGCCAAAGCTAATCGAGCTTGAGCCCCTTTTAAATTAAACATTAATACAATACAATACATACATGTTTCGACAGATCCTACTGTCATCATCAATGTACAGATATTCCATATAGGCAATTATATTTAAACGAAGTGATGTCAACCGTATCAAGTTGTGAACACCAAGATCATGAATAAAGACAAATGTATGTAGTGTAGGCAGTATAAACTTCACTGCTTCGTCAAGTAACTTAGGTTAAAATGATAGATAATAGTGTATGTCATCAGCATAATAGGCCTATATGGTATTTGTATGCGTGTTTGCAGATTATTTGACTAAGTGGACGAACGTAGGTAAGGATAAGTAATGGTCCTAAGGTGGAACCTTGAGGTATACCACAATAGAGATGTTTAGCGTACACCGTACTCGCGCGAATAAGCGCCCGGGCGCTTAAAATATTGTTTGCTCTTTTTAAAGGGGCGCTTATTCAAACGGGGCGCTTATCAAAACAGAGTGGAAATTAAGGGGGCGTTTATGAAAATCGACAAAAATCGAGTGGTTCTTATGAGAACTTATTTACTTCAAGAGGCACATTTTGAATAAAAAACGATTATATAAGGACATCAGAAAACCGCAAATTACGAATGATGGTGCGGCGAAAAGATAATCGTCCAGAGAGCATGACTTTTCATGACAAGAATGTTGTGAGTACAGTATTACATAACAGCAGAAGAGCAGATGAAATTAGTGGTGGTGGTTAGCTTGTTGGCCATCGGAAGATAGAGATTTGCAGGATGGCATGATCATTACAGGTAGTCTTGAAAACGCAGATGAGAATGTGTTAGGTGCAAATTGTCGGAAAAGCAGTAGGACTAGGCTATAGAAAAATGTAAAAAGAAAGTTGGAAATATACTGTATGTCCAGGGAGCTCAGTTCATCTGTTCAAGATAAATATCCTCATTATGATATTGACTAAAGGAGAATGTAATTCCACTCCACATCTCAAATCATCAACATCCACTGTCCAGGATTGACTGAATTATTGAGGGGGCGTTTATTCAAATTAGAAGGGGGCTTATACAAACGGGGCGCTTAAGGAAATTTTCAACGGGGCGTTTATTCGCGCGAGTACGGTAAGTATGTATTTTTTTTTAAATATCAGATTACTGTAGGATGAATTTGAAATTTGATGTATAAAATTTGGGTGACCCGACAAAAGATAGAAATAAAATTTGTTATGAAGTATATTTAAAGAGGTAAATGTCTTGCCTTTGGATCCAAAACCTAGCATAAACTATAAGAGTAGGCCTATGTTTGAACAGGCTAACAACTTGAACAAGGGCTCCAATCATCATTGGCCGTAGTTACGTCATGGACCTGAGGATAATCTAAGACTCTAAAAAAATGGGTAGCACAAAGGTCAATCAATTTCTAACCCTTGAAATCGTGCTGCAACAAAATCGGTTTGGCGCAACTGTTCTGCTTTTGTCACAATGAAAATGTATATGGATATTGTTTGGTAAGGTAATTTACAGTACTATTAATTTTAATTACAAAAGAACAAATGATTATGCATGGTGTAGCAAGCATATCGGTCAGCAGAAAAGAGCTGAAAGCAAGTGTCAACTGATGATAAGTGCTAATAATTTAAAGTGTGTAATTATTTATTCATGATCAAATTGATAGAATAAAAATTATCCTGTGGACAGTTGCACTGAAGAGGTGATAGAAGGTGAGCTGAAAGGGTTTCGTGCAGTAGACATGCCTAGGCTAAATCACAAAAGGTTTAAGAAAGTATGGTAACTAATGGAGAGCACCACTGAAATGTGTGCACTATAAATACAAGAACAAAATTTAAAAGGACCTATGTAAGTACTGTTTATAATTTATAAATGTGATATTATGCGACTTCTATAGGAATTATACGTTGAATAGTAAATGCAGGTAGTGGAATGCACATAAGCATTACTTGGTATGTGGCTTTAATACCTACCTTGAAAATGGTTAAAGTGAACTAGTTGTACATTTTAATTTATTTAAAGTGATACTTTTGTTTAATGCGCATTCAATAATTATTCATATTATTATAATTATTATTATTACTCATTAATGAATGTGTGTCAACGTTTCCAAGTCCACCTTGGGTGTGACAGCTATGCTTAAGAAATTCATGAAATTTAGATAACATATGAATGTCAGAGTATGTTTGAAAACAACTATGCACTTACCAAGCAATCAGTGATGATATCTTGTTTATAAATCACAAGTTTAAAATATGATATAAAATTGTCAGCAGATATGCTCAAATATTCAGCATGGTCATCTGAAAGAACTAGCACTTCCATAGGAAACAATCAAATTTCCAGTGCATAATTTGATTCGCATTACTTCTCACGATCGTTCCAAATCATGGCGGTACAGTTTTTGAAGATTATTGTCGATGACTGTTATACAGAAAATCAAGTAACAGTCAAATTACATGGAATGATCTCGAACTACTAAGGCGTGCTAATGCTCTTAGGTACCTGTTGGTCGCTACTGTTCTTCTCTTGTTCTTGTCTAGTTGTTCTTACTCTTGCTGTGTCCTAGTTCTTTGTGTCTAAACGCGCGGTACCGACAGTCAAGCAAAAAGATGAAAATATCACCACTAACGTCAAAAAATTATCTTAGACTTCGAAGCAGTCGTTGTTTTTAAATTCGTGTTTTTTTTTTTACAAATATACAGCAATTTAATACATAACGACTGGTTTAAAAGCACTTATATGTTTTAGAAGCGTTTCCTGTCAAACTCCATTGTGTGATTTAACTAAGCTAGCAATTATAAGTCTTTTTTTTTTTGGTAAGTATGTATACTGGCATTGTGCCAAATTAATTACTTTTCTAGACTATATAATTATTATAAAAAGCCACAATTGCTCGTCATTCCGGTTTCGATGTATTAAAGGATTGATATTTAACTTACAAATGCCCTAAGTCTCAGCAGCCACTAAGACATTTGAGAGGGTTGTCAGTTTAGTCGCCGACGCTTCGACCGGATGGAGTTTAATGTCGTACCCAGGACGTCCCTAACTACCTTAAGCTATGCTTAACTACTCTTAAATACAGTACTTAACTACTCTTAAATACAGTATTACTCTTAAATACAATTAGTTAAACTATCCCATTAGTTAAACTATCATTCTTGTAGCTTTTGTTTGTAAATGCCTTTATCATGTGTATGATTTAAACTGTTTGAATTTGTTAAGATCAACACTAGACACTCTGATTATTTGCGTTTTAGGCATGCCTTTGCCCGAACCAATGCATTTAAATTCTCTGCTTTCAATTATTTTCCCATTGTATGGGAAACTCTTCCACTTGAAGTACGTGATGCTGCTCTCTTTAACCTTAACTTATTTCTCAGAAAGCTAAAAGAACATTTTTACAACTGAGAGAATTTCAGATATGCCTATGCCCAAGTCAAGCTAAAAGTGAACTCTAATGACTAAATTTTCTCTTTTTGGTGTTTGTTGGTTTGTGAAGTGGGGGCAGGGTTTGGGGGTGGGTGTTTTCCTATTTCTGATCAAATTTTTTGTGTACTTTTTTATTTGTTTGTGTGATTGTTTAATATTTATAATAATTATTATGCTGGTAATTGTAATTAAAATTATTGTAGTTATTATTATTGTTGTAATAATAATAATAATAATAGACAGTAATTAATTTTACTTTTTGGTAATCCTGCCGGCTCTTGAAGGAAACATGGATTACCTTTTTGAATTTTCTGAATATTTTACTGTATTGTTATGATAAAAAAAAAGACGAAATAAATGAAATGAAATGAAATGAATCCCCCGCCGGACACCATCCCGGTATTTAGCAGTTTCGGGCCATTCTATAAACCATAACATAAGTTAGTTAAATAAATGGCTTTTGAGAAGAGATTTAAATGTAATGATGGAAGTTGCATGTTTGATGTGGAATGGGATGTTATTCCAGTTGGTTGGAGAAGCAAATTAAAAGGCACAATTGCCATATGACCGTGTGAATACTTTAAGGGTATGAAGAAGCCCTTTAGTGCTGAAACGTAATGTTCGCTTGGTGGAGTGATCTTGTATTAAGCATGTGATGTAATGTGGTACGTTGTTATGGTAAGACAGATACATACTTAATAACTAGGCTTGAAAACATTCTTCACGATCTGAGAGTGTTATAAATGATCATATACACAATTGTGAGGCATTCCAATATGTTTTAGGTCTACAAGGTATACTTGAAAATATTAATGTCGCCTGTAATGTAAGTAATAAATTAGGTTTAATATTTTCTAATACTAACATTTTTGAAAGTTCGCAAAATTGGTCTATACTATTGTTTAAAAAAGCGTTTGCTATACGTAGGCTACACCCATTGCTTAGCAATAGGCTGAAAGCTTCATTTCATTTAATTTATTTCGTCTAACAAATAACAAAACGTAGAGAAATAGCAATACCAAAAATCAGAGACAGGATAAACAAAAAGCAAACTAAATTGCTGTACAAAGTTTCTCCACTGATTTAAGGATACATACAATAAATATTTAAATCTCTCTTCTCTGGAAGTAAAAACGAGCAAAAACGGCCAAGGCAAATGGAAAAAGTTGAAAAGTAAAAATTAAAAGATATCGCAGCACAGCACAACGCAACGCAGAACAGCACAGCGCAGTACGCAAAAACCAATATACTGCTACTCTCATGTAGCCACTAGAAAAAAAAAACACTTGGATGTTCCCAGAAGCTCCGTGAGAATAACAATAAATTGTGCCAGTACACAGCGACATAAACATAGGCGGCAGCGACGGCAATAGCACAGAAAAAAAGAGAAATTTAAAATTATTTAAAATCAAGAAGTCCATATTATCCGCCATCGGAACACTTACACAACAAATTTTATTTTTAGAAGTGATCCTTCAAAGCACGAAGAAATTGAGAAAGGCCAATCGACAAACTGTCGTGAATATGTGAAGGTACGGCATCCTATATCCTCGGAAATAGATTAAAAACACTAAATAAGAATCAGTGCAACTATACTGATGAGTAAACTTCAAGTGGTCTAAATGATAATTTATTTCAATATTATTTGATATGTTTATAGAATATTTTCGAACAGATATTTTGCAATGAAACAGATACAAAGATAATAAATACGTTGTTGAAGAGGTGCAATTCCAAGATTAACAAGACGTTGAAGATAGGGGATGTATGAGAAAAGCATGATCTTGTCATTCTACGTTGTATAAGAAAGTATAATACATACTCCAAGTATTGAAATACACGCCATCGTGTTGGGATTCAATATTTCGACAATAATTATGACATCATCAGGAATGAAAAAAATATCCGTATTAGCAAGCTTATATGCACTAGTGTCAAAAGTGTTTGACCAATTAAAACATTACCTCTAGTAGGTGACATAGCAGTGATTTAAACAAAATATCAAAGCATTCTTACTCTAATGATCAAAGATACCTACAAAAACAAAGAAAGCTCTTTTGAAGCTCTGAGTCCATTGTTAAGCAAAGGGTGTAGTCTACGTATAGCGAACGCTTCTTTAAACAATAGGATAGACCAGTTTCGAGAGCTGTCAATAATGTTAGTACTAGAAAATATTAAACTTAATTTATTACCTACATTACAGACGACATTATCATTTTCAAGTATACCCTGTAATCCTAAAACATATTGGAATGCCTCACAGTTTTTAACATGATCAAATATAACACTATCAGATCGTGAAGAATGCTCTTTAAGTCTTTTCTTTTATGTTATTTTAGTTATTAAGCACCTATCTGTCTTACCAATATAATCATTATTGCAGCCTGGACAATCAAAATGATAGACAACAGAACTTCTGCACTCCTTAGAAGTTTGATCCTTAGTAGATATAAAATGAGAAACATTTTATCCTGCCATAAAGTTATGAATTTTACCTCTTTAATTAAGTGTTTCTTTACCTTATTTAAACATCTACGTAAAATGAACTCACCTGGTTTTCCTAGATAAGGCAATCTAACCCAAATCTTAATCACATTATCATCAGTAGGCCTATGTATACATTTAGGTTCATTATATTTCTTAAGTACATTATTAACAACTTTTAAAGGGTATCCATTCCAAGAAATAAACTTCCTAATGTTATTAAGCTCTGTTTGAAGTTTATCAGTAGTACACAATATGTGGGCTCTAGAAACTAAACTACGAATCCAGGAGATCTTATGGTTCTATGGAGCAAAGCTATCATAATGGACGTATTGACCTGTATGTGTATTTTTACGATATATACTCATGCTTCCTACACTGTTGTTAAATTGTAAATCCAGAAAGTGTACTGTGTCACTGTTTTCAAATGATTCAAAAGTAAAATTTATCTGTCTATAAAAAGCATTGAAGTAGCTTAGAATTTGCGGGAAATCATTGGCCTTTGCTAATACTAGCGTGTCGTCAACAAAACGAGTATAAAACTTAATAGTACCTGATTCAATAAGTTTAGGAACAACAGACTCTTTTAGTTCAGTCATTAAAATATTAGCTAAAACTGAGGCGAACCCATTGAGACACCATCAGTTTGTTTATAAATTCATTATTACATGTAAATACAGTTTTATTACAGCAATCTCTAAGTAGTTTCCTTAGCGAATTTTTCTTAAGGTTAGTAGATATCAGTTTCTTATTGTAAACCCTATCAAGAATTACATTATTACCTTAATAAGGGGAACATTTGTAAACAGAGATTCAACATCAAAAGATACAAATCGGTAACCTAAATTATATAAATTGTTTGGTATAGCTTTAATGCGGTCAGCAGCATCAAAAGAATCTTTAAGGACAAAATCATTAACCGTTAGAGGGTCTAATAAGTTTGATAAGAACTTAGCTACTGAATAATAACAAGTACCGTTCGTGTCAATAATAGGTCTTAGGGGTGGAATATTATCAAAATCTTTCTGTAATTTAGGTAGTCCATGGGCTCTAGCAGGCATGGTTAATACTGGACGAATTTCTTTGTATTCAGTTTCAGTTAGTTCATTTCTATTAAATAATGTCCGGAGGTAGACAGGTTTAGAATGCTGCGATGATATTTATTCCGTAGAGCAAGTTGATAAGCTGCCAGCGAGGCGTATATACATCGTAATCATTATTTTTTTATGCATTAAAATCACTATAGGCATATTTCAATGTATTTATTGAATGAAGGAAACATTTTTTAGTTGGGTCTTCCAAAACAATGATATAATACTTTACGTTTTAATTTTTTTTCTCCAAGTGTTTTAGAATGGATTACTGCATGCCACACTCGAAGTAGTTTTGCTGTCCATTTCATTCGAAAAATACAATTCTTGTGCTATAATACATTTTGTGTTAATATCTGATTTGATGATATTTATATGGTGATTGATGTGGCTATCCTAGTTTGTTATTCATAATTTTTTCAAATGTATCATTAGCTGGATACATCATGTATGCTCTTTTGTATTGTTGAGGCACTGTTTAATTTCTATTGTTAGTGAGGATATTTCTGAAAGCTATGAAATGTAGTTTTATTTTTTATGATTTCTATTTTTGATA